CCGAAGTTCCTATCCCTGCTGTAAGCAGACTAGGAGGTCAACAACTCCATCCTGTTGTGCTTCCCAAGCAAGACAAGATGCTCCATGTAGCCACTCTGCCATATTGTAATAATATGGACTAGGAGTGGGAATTGAGGGGTCCTCCTTATGTTGCCAAACGGCAACTCCCAAGGTTTGTTGTCTTGGGCTATTTTGGATAGAACTCCCAGCCAGCATGCCCACTAGTCATTAGTTCACAGAACATGCTGAAATAATTTGAAGGCTCTCATTCCAGTCTTCTGATTCTGAGAGCCATTGGTTATGGCATCCTTCTGGCACTCCTTGCAAAAACACACACGAGGGAGGTGTTGGCAAGTTTGAGGGGAAACTCTAAATTTGTAGGAGTAGAGAAAGAGAGAAATATTTAGGGGAGGTAACTATTAGAGAGGGATCCCTGAAACAGCAGGATGGCCTGGTTGTTCCTAGCATTCCTGGTTGTTCCTAGTATTCATATTTTGGGCTGAGAACAGAATGGCCAGAAAGCCTAAAGAGGGATTGCTCCATGCTGCAACATTTTGTTAATGTTCTCGTCTGTTCCAAGAACTGTTGACTGTGTTCTGCATCTGAAAATAGAGCACTATACTTTCTGACATTTTACAGACAAAAAAAGAATCTTCTCATGCATATATGTAATACCACCATTTATCCCCCAAGGAACACTGCCTGCATACCGGGTGCACAGAAAATGCGTGGGGATACATAGATGAAAGATTGGCCCCCTTCTGAATGCTGTGTTCACTGGCTGTATAACAGATTGTCTTGTCCTGCCCTCGAAAGCTGGTTCCCCTCAGAATGCAAATTGGATTTGGGTGTACTCCGAATGGAAGGACTGTGGCAACCAGCAGCAGCAGCTCAGTCTATCGTAATTGGCAGTTATGGGAGGTTGGAACGGGAATGGCACACTGGTATTTCTATCTGTGTGCATGCACTTGTGTCCACAAGCACTAGACCAGTGTTTCTCAACCTTCCTAATGCCGTGACCTCTTAATACAGTTCTTTATGTTGTGGTGATCCCCAACCATAAAATTATTTTTATTGCTACTTCATAACTGTAATTTTGCTACTGTAAATATCTGATATGCAGAATGTATTTTCATTCACTGGACAAAATTTGGCACAAATACCCAATATACCCAAATTTGAATACTGGTAGGGTTGGGAGAGATTGATTTTGTCATTTGGTAGTTGTAGTTGATGAGATTTATAGTTCACCTACAATCAAAGAGCTTTCTGAACTCCACCAACAATGCAATTGAACCAAAATTGGCACACAGAACTCCCATAACAGACAGAAAATACTGGAAGGGGGAGGTGGCGTGCGCTGTTACAGCCTGTTTACAAAGACAAAGGATATTCCTGGAGGTTCCAGGAAAGATGATCTACATTTTGGGGACCACAAAAAGGGTAACCTAGGGTACTTGGAGAGATCAGGGATCACAAAAACACCTCCTTGTGGATCATATATGATATCAGCACCAACTTTCTCCCATCCTTGAACTAGTCTGTAGTTCCAATAATACAAAAGAACATAAACAGGAGCCTTTCTGTTTATGGGGACCACAAAAAGGGTAATCTAGGGACCTTGGAGAGATGAAGGATCACAAAAACACCTCCTTGTGGATCATATATGATATCAGCACCAACTTTCTCCCATCCTTGAACTAGTTTGTAGTCCCAATAATACAAAAGAACATAAACAGGAGCCTTTCTGTTTATGGGGACCACAAAAAGGGTAACCTAGGGACCTTGGAGAGATCAAGGATCACAAAAACACCTCCTTGTGGATCATATATGATATTGGCACCAACTTTCTCCCATCCTTGAACTAGTCTGTAGTTCCAATAATACAAAAGAACATAAACAGGAGCCTTTCATATGCCACAATTGTATGCTATCATTCTACAGTAGAGTCTGACTTTAGATCAGCTGGCAGAAGGTTGGATAAGCGAAAATATTGGATAATAAATAGGGATTAAGGAAAAACCTATTAAACATCAAATTACGTTATGATTTTACAAATTAAGCACCAAAACATCATATTTTAAAACAAATCAACAGAGAAAGCAGTTCAATACATGGTAACATTATGTAGTAATTACTGTGTTTATGTATTTAGCACCAAAACATTGCAATGTATTGAAAGAGCTGTGGATCCGGGCAGGAGGCAGACTGCATTGGATAATACAGAATGCTGGATGAGCGAAGGTTGGATAAGCAAGACTCTACTGTACTTTAAAAACCTCATCACAATGATGAGGGTGTGTGGGGTGATTGGCCGGCCTCCGTGGCAAATCCGCGAGGCAGCAGTGCAATCCCAGCGCCCTGTGCCCTGCCTCCCCTGCAGCGACACTTCCCCATCACATATGGGAAAGTATTGCAGCGCGACTTCTCCCTGTCCTGGCCCAACGAAACCTGCTATGTTGTGGGTGAAGTGTCATAGGATGCTTGCACCACAACTGATTGATGGAGCCCTGCCAGAGGTTAGTGTGCATTATGTGATGGGCGTCATAGGGCTCCATGGATCAACTGTGGTTGCTTGTGAAGACATGTATGATGAAGTCCTAAGTCTCTGGCTACATCCTGTGAAGTCCTGCGATAGGAAGTCCTGTGAAGTCCTGTGTAGGAAGCATCTTTTTAGGAAGTGCCCAAGGATACCAGAAAATGCAGCCATAACAATATCATAGCATTTCAGTTATGTAGTATGAAATGAGTCATAGGTGCAAAATCCTATATGCCATTTCTGTCTGAGTTTGCTTTCTCTAATGACTTGAATCAAAATTAATGTACCCAGAGTACTTAGGAAGGGAGATGAAACTTCAAAGATTTTGTCAGTGTTGTAATATGGTCACAATGGGGTCACAATAACAAAAGTTATTACTTGCTGGAGACTGAAAGAGAAGGAGAGCTTCACTTTACCCTGTGGTCTCTCCGTCTAGCACAGTTGTCCTCAGCCATTCCTAATGCTGCAACCCCTTAATACATGTTGTGGTGACTCCCAACCATAAATTTATTTTGGTTGCTACTTCATAAATGTAATTTTGCTATTRTTATGAATCGTCATGTACATATCTGATACATAGGATGTATTATCATTCACTGGACCAAATATGGCACAAATACCCAATATGCCCAAATCTGAATACTGGTGGGTTTGGAGGGGGGTGGTGATTTTGTCATTTGGGAGTTGTAGTTGTTGGGATTTATAGTTCACCTACAATAAAAGAGTATTCTCAACTCCACTGACGATGGAATTGAACCAAACTTGGCACACAGAACCCTCATGACCAACAGAAAATACTGGAAGGGTTTGGTGGGCATTGACTTTACGTTCTGGAGTTATAGTTCACCTGCATCCAGAGAGCACTGTGAACTCAAACAATGATAGATCTGAACCGAACTTGGCACTAATATTCAATATGCCCAAATGTGAACACTGGTGGAGTTTGGGGAAAAATAGACCTTGACCTTTGGGAGTTGTTGTTGCTGGGATTTATAGTTCACCTTCAATAAAAGAGCATTCTGAACCCCATCAATGATGGAATTGGGCGAAACTTCTCACACAGAATCCCCACGGCCAACAGAAAATACTGTGTTTTCTGATGACCTTGTTGACCCCTCTGACACTCCCTCATGACTCCTCCCCCCCCCAGGGATCCCGACCCCCAGGTTAAGAAACACTGCTCTAGCAGCCATTCATATTTTTATGGTTAATGTGAATCATCATCATCATCTTTATTTATATCCCATCACCATCTCCCAAAAGGGTCTCTGGGTGGCTTACAAGGCACTCCAAGTTGCAGCATAACACAAATGGTACATGAGTATAAAACAATATCACATAAATATTATACAAAAAATGGGGTGTCTGTTCCCTGTCAGCCCCCTTGTTTTCTGTGCTATGCATAGAGAAGCTCACTTGAATCTCTGCTGCCAGCTCACTTTCTCACCTGCATGCCGTTCCTTGTCACCTGTGGTGAGCAGAGAAGCAAGGGTATGGAAGTCACTTACTCCTGCTGCCTTCTGAAACGGCACCTTTGACATTCTTGCAGAAGGAGAACATAAGGATAGCCAAATAAAGGCAACTTAGTATGTAAGGAGCAGCAGGAGAGAGAAAAATATGTGTAACTACAATTCCAAACTACGTAGCAATGCTGCCTGGGGGGAGTCTGTAATTAAAAAATAACTCCTTCAAGTTAAGTGAGGGGTCCCAGAGCTCGGTGATAGAGCGCCCATCTTGCAGAAGTTTCCTGGGTTCATTATAACAAGCCTTTCACTCTTTGCTGGTAAATGGTATAATAAAAGACAAGAGCTGGTGGGTGAGAATTCAGGATCTCCTCCTTTGAGGGGAACACACAACAGGGCCTGGCCTCAATCGCATCCACCCACGGGAGAGGAAGAGAGAGATGTGCTGTGTGAAAAGCACCAATGTACAAAGAAAGGCACATACCCCCACTCCCGCGACAGCAGCCTGTCTTCTCTCTCTCGTTCTCTCTCGTTCTCTCTCTCATACACACACATATTCTCCCCATCCTCCCACCCCCCCAATGCGCACACACAGCCGGTGGAATTTGTGTGTGGGCTTTGCTTGCAGAAATGCAGAGCTAACATAGTCGTGCACCCACTAAGACTCGCGTGCCTGAGAATCCTTGCCTGCTCTGCCCAGATTCCAACTACGAAAGGGTCTAACAGAGATCTTGGAAGGTCACGCAAGCAATTGCCCCAGGACAAGACAAGACCAAAACGGAAGTGTAACATCAGATCACCCACCTTAGACCTGGACATCAATTTCTGCGGCATCCATCCAAGCTCAGTATCCTGTCTCATCCATAGCCAGCAGTGGAAGCACTAGCACCAAAAAGAGGCTCTGTATCCAGCTGTTGCTTTCAAGGTGGACAGTCTGCCCTCCTGCCTCGAAGATGTATCGGATCTGATTCAGCTCGCTTTTGTTGTTGTTCTTCCAGGCTCACCCCTTCCACTCAAACACAGTTTGGCAAACTCGATGCTGGAACCATCACCAGGCAAGATCACCAGTAAGACACTCCTGCAAGGTAAGGTCAGTTGCAGTGGCAGAAATGCATCTGTGGAGTTTGAACAGGACCCTTCTTGGGGTTTTTTTGAGCAAGAGTTTGAAGCTGAAATCACTGCTCACAGTTAAGATTTTTTCCAGCGTTTGCTGTTTCCTCCCTGCTATTGAAAATATCTTTCAAACTCTGCTGAAATCTCAGCATCGGGCCGGTGGCAATCAATCTGCCTTACACTCGGCATGTTTGCCAGTTCTAGGGCCTCTGTGACCCTTGGCGATTCTCTAAAAGCAAAACATCCCTCTACCCTTGGAAAAATGTTTTTTTTTAGTGATACCCAGGGTGAATGTGTCCATTCTTGATTTCCATTCTCTTAGAACAGAGAGAAACGTCTGCAATAGTGAAATTCTGAGTAGTTTATCTCCATCCACAAAAGCAAAATAGCTTGCGCTGAGGTTAGCCTGTTTCCTTTCCTGAGAAACTTAAGTGATATTTGTCTTGACTGTTCTAATGTAGTACAAATCCTCTTTAGAACAGTGGTTCTCAATCTTCCTAATGCAACGACCCCTTAATACAATTCTTCATGTTGTGGTGACCCGCAACCATAACATTACTTTAGTTACTACTTCATAACTGTAATTTTATGTTATGCATCGTAATGTAAATATCTGATATGCAGGATGTCTTTTCATTCACCGGACCAAATTTGGCACAAATACCTGCTATGCTCCAATTCGAATACTGGTGGGGTTGAAGGGGATTGATTTTGTCACTTGGGAGTTGTAGTTGCTGGGATTTATAGTTCATCTACAATCAAATAGCATTCTGAACTCCACCAACGATGGAATTGACCCAAACTTGGTACACAAAACTCCTATGATCAACAGAAAATACTGGAAGGGTTTGGTGGGCACTGACCTTGAGTTTTGGAATTGTACTTCACCTACATCCAGAGAACACTGTGGATTCAAACAATGATGGATCTGGACAAATTTGGCACGGATACTGAATATGTCTAAATGTGGACACTGGTGGAGTTTGGGGGAAATAGACCTTGACATTTTGGAGTTGTAGTTGCTGGGATTCTGAAGAACAGAATAGAATTGGGCCAAACTTCCACAGAGAACCCCCATGATGAACAGAAAACACTGTATTTTCTGGTGGTCTTTGGTGACCCCTCTGACACCCCCTCACAACCCCACCCCCCAGGGGTCCCAACCCCCAGATTGAGAAACGCTGCTTTAGAAGAAACCTAGTGTAGGCACAAAGTAAGGGCCTTTTGTGCACCGAGACCTGAGTTCAAATTCTGGCACCATGAGTTAAAAGTACCAGCTGAGGTATGTTTTCCTTCACCTTCATAGTGGTATGAAATATCTTTGCAAAGAGACACAATTTAGAGATCTCCTGCCAGCCAGAGCAAACAATACTGAACATAGAAAAATAGTTTATATGAGACTTGGCTGTTTCCTCTGATGTTATCTGGTTAGAGCAGATGTGTTCTTCAAGATGTGATTGGGCTACAGTCCTCACCATCTCATTCCTTCAACTTGGAACAGTGGTGGCGCCATGGATTAAACCCTTGTGCCAGCTGACCTGCTGACCTGAAGGTCAGCGGTTTGAATCTGCAAAATGGGGTGAGCTCCCATCTCTCAGCTCCAGTTTCCCATGTGGGGACATGAGAGAAGCCTCCCACAGGATGGTAACACATCGAGGCATTCCCTGAGCAACATCCTTGCARACAGCCAATTCTTCAACTGTGCTTGGGGCAGCGGGGGTGGGGTGGGTGGGYGCTAATTGGTCTTGGAGTCCAACAGCTTTTCTGTCTTGGCTCTGTTTGACAATTCATACTTGAGAGGCTGCCATGGAATACCAGGTTCTAAAACAGTTTCTCAACCTGGGGTTTGGGACCCCGGGGGGGGGGGGTCGTGAGGGGGTTTCAGAGGTGTCCTCAAACACAGTATTTTCTGTTGGTTATAGGGGTTCTGTGTGGGATTTTTGGCCCAATTCTACCATTGGTGGGGTTCAGAATGCTCTTTGATTGTAGGTGAACTATAAATCCCAGCAACTATAATTCCCAAATGTCAAGGTCTATTTTCCCCAAACTCCACCGTGTTCACATTTGGGCATATTGAGTTCGTGCCAAGTTTGGTCCAGATCCATCATTGTTTGAGTCCACAGTGCTCTCTGATGTAGGTGAACTACAACTCCAAAACTCAATGTCAATGTCCACCCTGCCAGTATTTTCTGGTGGTCATAGGAGTTCTGTGTGCCAAGTTTGGTTCAATTCCATCATTGGTGGAGTTCAAAATGCTCTTTGATTGTATGTGAATTATAAATCCCAGCAACTACAACTCCCAAATGACAAAATCAATCCCTCCCAACCCCACAGTTATGAATTAGCAACGAATATAATTTTATGGTTGGGGTCACCACAACCTGAGGAACTGTATTAAGGGGTCATGGCATTAGGAAGGTTGAGAAACATTGTTCTAAAAGGCTGTATTTGAGAGGGAAGAATGACCAACTTCCTCTGCATATTCCAAACCCTGTGGAATTCATGGGGTCACCATAAATTGACAGGTGACTTGAAGGTGAAGAAAAATACACATGCAGTAAGCAGTGGATTTAGGTGCCAGCTGCAAAAATTAAGTGCGTAAAAGCCCTAATTGTAAATTACCTATATCTTTTTGCAAAGCTTACTTTCTGGAGATACAACAGCATCTGCATTTTTGTATTTGCAATGGGAAAGGCAGCTTGTTTATTACCAGCCTTAATCCCTTCTGGGGGAAAGGAGTGTTAATGCCTCCCCCATGGAATTCAAAGAGGCCCTCGTCTCCTCCTATGTCTCAGTCATCAGCAAGAAGGTGGTTGTGTCGTGTCCCTTGACACTGGCTGTTATGAGCCAGTCTCTTCCCCAGGGACTGAAAAGAATGTCTAATGACAGTTATTGTGATGGGATTGGGCAGCAATGCCATCCGAAGGCTATTGAATAAATGCAGAAATCTGTGTCCTGAGAGGTGATGGGCAGCAATTATAATAGGACAGGGAGAAGGCTCAGAGTGGAACACTATGAAACCTAGAGGGTCAACATAATAGGCTATCCTTCTATGGTGTGGATGTGTATGCATATATGTATGTATGCATGAGGGCATCATTTGGATTTCTATGGAAAGGGAGAAAGATCCATTATTTTGTGTGTGTATGTAATATATCCTAAATATATCCTAGCCACGGTGATCCACGCTCTGGTTACATCCCGCATAGATGCAACCACTGGGACTGTGGCACAGCTAGCTGGGAGTCAGCTGCATTAAGATCACCGCTTACCAAAAGGTCATGAGTTCGAAGCCAGCTCAGATTGGAGTGAGCATCCGACCAATTTGTGTAGCTTGCTGTCGACCTTTGCAGCCCGAAAGACAGTTGTATCTGTCAAGTAGGAAATTTAGATACCGCTTATGCGGGGAGGCACATTTAACTAATTATGAGGCCATAAAAATCTCCAGCAAGTATTCAAAGAATGAGGAAGTACTTCATCTGTGTCACAAGGAGCCCCCGGTGGCGCAGTAGGTTAAAGCCCTGTGCCGGCAGGACTGACAGGTCGCAGGTTCAAATCCGGGGAGAGCACGGATGAGCTCCCTCTATCAGCTCCAGCTCCTCATGTGGGGACATGAGAGAAGCCTCCCACAAGGATGATAAAACATCAAAATCATCTGGGCGTCCCCTGGGCAACGTCCTTGCAGACGGCCGATTCTCTCACAACAGGATGCTCCTGACACGACAAAAAAAAAATCAGTGTTACAAATGAAGTAACAGCTCCCCTGGTGGCCAAAATACCCTCAAGAAAAGCTGGAATGTTAAATTGCCTCTGTGTCTTTCTATATATGTTGTGTGTCTATGGCAATGAAAGTTTACCATGTATATGTACATTGTAATCTGTGCTGAGTCCCCTGCAGGGTGAGCAAGGTGGAATATAAATACTGTAAATAAATAAATAATAGATTACTGCAACACACTCTACGTGGGGTTGCCTCAGAAGACTGTTTGGAAGCTCCAGCTAGTCCAACGCTCGGAAGTCAGGTTGCTCCCTGGAGAGGGGGTACAGGGAGCATACAACCCCCTTGTTATGCCAGCTCCACTTGCTGCCTTCTGAGCACAATTCACAGTGCTGGTCTTGACCTATAAAACCCTAAACTGTTCCAGCACAGCTTATCTGTCTGAACGTATCTCCCTTTATGAATCCCCAAGGACCTTCAGATCGGCTGGAGAAGCCCTGCTCTCAGTCCCACCACCATCGCAGTCGTGCTTGGTGGGAACGAGAGACAGGGCCTTCTTGGTGCTGGCCTCTTGGCTGTGGAACTCCCTCCCTAATGAGATCAGATCTGCCCCCTCCCTCATGACCTTCCAGAAGAAACTCAAACCGTAGTTATGGGATCAAGTGCTTGCAGAATAGATGTTTTTAATGGGCTTTTTCGCTGATGGCAATGGATTGATTTGGAAGACAATGTGAAATGGCAAACTGTTTTAATGCATCTATAATTGTTTTTAATATAGTATATTATTTTAATATAGTATATTATGCTTGTTTTATTGTTTAGCACCAAATGGTGCCTGTTGGTAGCTGCCCTGAGTCCCTCTTCAGAGGTGAGAAGGACGGGATAGTAATGCTCCTAATAAATAAATAAAGGCACCAAATCCAATCTGACCCTGGAAATTAAGCATGTTCATCCCTGGTTAATACTTGGGTGGAAGATGTCTCATGAATACCAGCTGCTTTGGGCTATATTTCAGAGGAAGGAACTGGCAAAACCACCTCTGAGTATTTCTTGCCTTAGAAAGCACTATGAAATTCATGGGATCAGGCCCGTAGCTAGGATTTAGATTGGGGGGGGGCTGAGTTTGTTCTGAGGGGAGGGGGGGGGGCTGAGTCTGAGTGAAAGAGGGTCTACCCTAGCAAACCTTTTGTATCATTACCCCAATACCCCCATGCATATGGGATATATTGAGTATAGTGATCAGATCATGATATG